AAATCTCCACCACAAAGTTTTTCTCAACGTGCGTAGCATACCGGTCAGATTTCTCAGATAAAAATTACGATTATCATCAAATATGTTGCGGCTAGAACTGAACCTGCCAAGATGAACCTGTCTTGAACCTCACTCTGATACCACTTGTTAGGATCGAAATAATTAGGTGTCACGCAGAATCTAGTAAAGCAAACCTTGAACGACGATAAGTCCAACATAAAAGAGACACAAACATTTAACGTGATTCGTTCAATTGACCTATGTCCACAGATGTAGATGAGCAATCCACTATATAAAAAGAGTACAAAATATCGAGAGAACAATCTCACGAAGAGGAAAATACAAGTGACACACTAACACTTGTTCCGTAAAGTTCTCCCCCTAAACACGACTCAAACCCCATATGGCTACATTGTGGATGCTACTGAATGAGAAAGACAGATCTTCAATTTATAAAACTCCAAACCTTTTCCTACAAGAAAAGGGACTAGCCAAATATTGAAGAATTATATTTTTCTTCTAGGAAAAGAAAAACCCAATTATGGTAAATATGTCATCCTTTCCTTCATGAGATAGGAAAACCAATTATGGTAAGAAAATCTAGATAAACACCTAACAATTCTCCTTCTTGGCCTGAATTTTCTGACAAAATAAACTTGATCCACCTTCTTCCCATAGCCTTCAATAGGATCACATCTCCACCACAAAGTTTTTCTCAACGTGCGTAGCATACCGGTCAAATTTCTCAGACAAAAATTATGATTATCGTCAAATATGTTGCGGCTAGAACTGAACCCGCCAAGATGAACCTGTATTGAACCTTACTCTGATACCACTTGTTAAGATTGAAATAATTAGGTGTCATGCGGAATCTAGTAAAGCAAACCTTGAACGACGATAAGTCTGACATAAAAGAGACACAAATATTTAACGTGATTCGTTCAATTGACCTATGTCCACAGATGGAGATGAGCAATCCACTATATAAAAAAGAGTACAAAATATTGAGAGAACAATCTCACGAAGAGGCAAACACAAGTGATAGACTAACACTTATTCCGTAAAGTCCTCCCCCTAAACACGACTCTCAAACCCTATATGACTACATTGTGGATGCTATTGAATGAGAAGGACGGATCTTCAATTTATAGAACTTCAAACCTTTTCCTACAAGAAAAGGGACTAGCCAAATATGAAAGAATTATATTTTCCGTCTAGGAAAAGAAAAATCCAATTATGGTAAAATATGTTGTCCTTTCCTTCATGAGATGGAAAAACCAATTATGATAAGAAAATCTGGACAAACACCTAACAACAAGGGGGAATAAGTGATAAAATCACTATTTTCCAAAAAAAACCTTTTCCTTTATACCAAACACACCCTTAATTGCTCATGTTTCGGTATCTTTCTCTTTTTCTTCTTGGCGGAAGCAGGTGTAAGAAATACAAGGTCTAACTTGAAGAAAATGGACAGATCATACACTGAAGAAGACTGGATCCCAATTCGAGGTGGTACAGTAGAGAATTATTAAGCAAGTGTTGATATGTAATTTGTTATATTGAAGTGAAAAATAATCAAGAGACTTCAAAAGTACATAATTTAGGACTATTTGGAGGGCTCTGTGTGAAGGAATTAGCTAACTGCCTAACTGTGCACTAACGACCTAATCCGTCTTAGCTATATTAGTTAGTGAATTGTAATTAGTTATTAGTTAATTATGTTGGTAGTGGAGGTTAGTTAGATAGCTGGCACCAGCTAGCAACTTGTATATATATAGGTGTAGCTAGCTCATTTGTACTATTGTTCCATTGATAATGAACAAAAAATTTCCCCAAATTTTGCATGCATTTTCCTTCTCTCATCTATGATTGCCCTACTTCAATGTCGGTCAGAATCTTAGCGAGTTTCTTCATGGTATCAGAGCGAGGCTTTGCCAGTAAGGTCTAAGGATTGTTCTTCGCGGATTGAAGACGAACGAGAGATTCATTGTCAATTCTGTAAGAAAACGATTTATGATCTGGATTGTAGCGAGCTCTATATTCAATTGATAAACTCTGTTTTTGATTAGTGATTCTTCATCTCATCTACAAGTTCACTGAATTTGCTACTGTATAACCATGGCGATTGAGGATGCATCTGATTCAGGAAGCTCTATTCCAGCTCCGGTGGTGATTGATCATAATCACCCCTTGTATCTCTATCCTTCTGATGCCCCTAGGTCCTTATTAGTTAGTATTCAGCTCATAGGGATGGAAAATTACACTTTGTGGGATCGAGCAATGAGAGTTGCACTCCTAGGAAGAAATAAGCTAGCTTTTATTGATGGTACAATCACTAGGGATACTTTTAGACCAGCTTTAGGACATCAGTGGGATCGATGTAGTGCAATAGTAGTCTCGTGGCTTACTGAAAATGTGAGCAAAGAATCGCTAAGTGGAATTTTGTTTCGCTCTAATGCACTCTTGGTTTGGAAGGAATTACAGGAGAGGTTCAATAAAGTTAATGGATCACGTTTGTATTCTCTTCACAAGGAGATCTTTACTTTGACACAAGGAACATTATCTGTGTCAGTGTATTATTCGAGGTTAAAGGCTTTATGGGATGAGTATGATTCGAAGATGCCACCTCCTTCATGTGACTGCAAGAAATCAAAGGATTTTGCAGTGCATTTGCAGTATCAACGCCTATTACAGCTTTTAATAGGACTAAATGAAGGTTATAGTTAGGAAATGAGTCAAAAGATTAATATGAACCAAGCGTATGCCTTGATTGTCCAGGATGAGAGTCAAAAACTTGTGGTAGGAAGTAACTATGTTACAGCTGAAACAATGGAATCATCTGCACTATTCACAGCCAGAAATAATGCGCCTAAGCAGAAGAGAAGCGGTATAGAATGTGACTATTGTCATGGAAAGGGTCACACAAGAGATGGATGTTTCAAGCTGATGCATTATAGCTACTGCAACAAGAAGGGTCATCTTAGGGAAAATTGTTACAAGCTGATTGGTATCCTGCAAGTTTTAAGTCCAAGGCCAGAGCTAATGTGGTGGATGGACATTCTATGCAGTCTGAGACTAGTGCAACCAATCAAGGAAACATCAATTCTACTAACACTGCTGCTCCAATGATCACACAGGAACAATACAATATGCTGCTCAACATGCTCATCAAGGCTTCCACATCTGAAATAAGTGCAAATCTGGAAGATAAGTATTTTCTTGTTAGAGATAATGCAATATATTGGATAATGGACACATGAGCTATAAATCACATGACAGGGAATAGACGTTTGTTATTGGATGATGGTAAAGTAGGAAGTGATGGAAATGTGCAAATGCACACAGGAGAGTCTGCTAAAATAACCAAGATAGGAAACAGTCCTTTGGGAGGAGGTGATACCCTTAAGGATATGCTTTGTGTACCAAGTTTTAAGTTCAATCTATTGTCAGTGTCTAAATTGACCAAGGAACTAAATTGCTGCGCAATGTTTTTTCCTAACACTTCATATTTCAGGATCTTTGCACTGGGAAAGTGAAGGCAATTGGTAGTAGAGAAGATGATTTGAATATACTGAGAACACACCATAAGGAAGCTGGAATAAATGGAGCAAAGGCTATGACAGTCGAACAGATGAAAGAACCTGATATTTGGCACAAGAGATTAGGCCATGTGCCCATGGCAGTTATTAGAAAGATTTCTGGTTTTAAAAATAAAGATGCTTTTCAATTACAACATTGTGATGTGTGTCCATTGTCTAGACAAACAAGATTACCATTTCTGCCAGTACTAGTAGAGCAGATGAACCTTTTGATTTGATGCACATGGATGTATGTGGCCCTTATAAGGTCCCAACCTATAATGGAATGAATTACTTTTTGACATTAGTAGATGATCACACAAGATGGACATGAATTTTCTTAATGAGAGTGAAATCAGATGTATCTGAGTTACTTAAAACATTCATTGCAATGATCCTTAACCAATTTGAAAAAATGATTAAAGTGTTCAGGTCAGACAATGGAACTAAGTTTTTAACATGTCTTGCAAAGAATTGTTTACATGTCATGGGATTTTACATCAGTGTTCTTGTCCTTACACTCCTCAACAGAATGGAGAGTTGGAAAGGAAACATAGGCACATCCTAGAAATAGCAAGAGCAATTAGGTTCCAGTCTAATTTGCCAATTCGATTCTGGGGCACATGTGTTGAAGCAACAACATATATAATAAACAGGGTACCATCTACCATTTTGAAAGGTAGATCACCTTTTGAAGCATTGTACAGCAGGCCACCCTTTTTGGCTAGGTGATAGGCTGCCTTTGTTATGCAAATGTTTTGCTTAAACAAGACAAGTTTGGTCCAAGAGCAGTGAAATCAGTGTTACTAGTATATAGAGTTCATCAGAAAGGATACAAACTATTTGATCTGTCTAACAAATTGTGTTTTATTAGTAGAGATGTTATATTTCATGGGAGCATATTTCCTTTTCAGGATACCCATGAAGAGCAAAACTCTCAAAGTCCTCACATTACAAAATTGAGAAGGTTTTGTATGGTGGATGATTTAGATATTGCAAGTAGAAGCATTTTTCCTGATCAAGATGCTGCAGATTCTACTTCACAGCAGACTCCAGGTGCATCAGTAGATATTGATCAAGAAAACCATGATTCTCAGGGCCTCTATGAAGGTGTGACAGACTTAATTGAACACATAGAAGTAGTAAAAGAACATTAAACAATAACATTGATTGAAAGAAGATCAGGGAGAACAACTAAGCCACGTATTTAGCTTAAAGACTATGTGAGGACTGATAAGCACATGCTTGTTTATACCCAATCTCATATGTCATTAGTTATGACTCCTTGTCCTCCAAGTATCAAAGCTTCATCATCAAATTCTCTACAGAAGTTAAGCCTAAGAATTATGCAGAAGCAATCAAGGATGCCAGGTGGATAGAAGCAATGCAGATAGAGATCAAGGCATTGCAATACAACAATACATGGACATGATGCCTTTGCCACCAGGGAAAAAGGCTATTGGTTGTCGATGGGTATACAAGATTAAATACAAAGTTACATGTGAAGTGGAAAGGTTTAAGGCAAGGTTAGTTGTCAAAGGGTATAGTCAAAGAGAGGGACTGGATTATGAAGAAACATTCTCACCTGTTGTCAAGATGGTAACAATGAGGATTGTTATTTCATTGACAGCAACGAATAATTGGGACATTCATCAAATGGATGTCTACAATGCCTTTTTTTAGGTGATTTAACTAAAGAAGTATATATGGAGCTACCTCAAAGATTTATTTGTGAGGGACAACATCAAGTTTATCGACTCCTCAAATCACTGTATGGGCTCAAGCAAGCTTCTCGACAGTGGAACATCAAGCTAACATCTGCATTTACAACTTTTGGGTTCTGTCAGAGTCACTCAGACTATTCCTTATTTACCACAAAAGTTCAAGGGAAAATAATGGTGGTCTTAGTTTATGTTGATGACCTACTAATCAAAGGAGATGATGCCATCTTAATACAAGAGACTAAGGAGTACTTACAACAAGTCTTTAAAATCAAGGACTTAGGGGAGCTGGAGTTTTTCTTAGTGATTGAATTTTCTAGAAGCAAAGAGGGAATTCTAATGCATCAAAGAAAATATGCATTAGAACTCATATCAGACATGGGACTCTCAGGTTCAAAGACAATAAGGGCACCTTTGGAGGCCAATAAGAAGCTTACAACATTGGAGTTTGACACTCAGTTTGGTATTGAAGATGATAAAGTTTTTGATGACCCTAGTACTTATCAAAGGTTAGTTAGGAAACTTCTCTATCTCACCATGACTAGACCAGATATTGCATTTGCAGTGCAATGCTTGAGTCAGTTCATGCATTGTCCTAAAACATCACATGTGGATGCTGCCATCAAGGTGATCGAGTATATCAAGCAGTCTCCAGACTTGGGGATAATAATGTCTGCAGATGTTTCATCTCAGCTTACAGCCTATTGTGCTGCAGATTGGGCATCTTGCCCAAACACTAGGAGATCAATTACTGGGTATTTGATCAAGTTTGGGAGCTCTTTGATCTCATGGAAGTCGAAGAAACAAACTACTATATCCAGAAGCTCAGCTGAAGCTGAGTATCGAAGTCTGGCATCAACAGTTGTAGAAATATTGTGGGTGACTGGTTTGATTAAGGAATTAGGGGTGCATATTCGGAAACCTATCTCTTTGCTATGTGACAGTAAGTCAGCGATTCAAATAGCTGCTAATCCAGTGTTTCATGAGCGCATAAAGCATATTGATATCAACTGTCATTTCATTCGCGAGAAGGTGCAACTTGGCCTCGTTCATCTATTACATATTCCCTCTTTAGAGCAACATGCAGATATTCTTACTAAGAGCTTGGGTGCAACTCAACATCATTATTTGCTGTCCAAGCTAGGCATGAAGAACATCTTCATAGCTCCTAGCTTGAGGGTGTGTGTGAAAGAATTAGCTAACTGCCTAACTGTGCACTAACGACCTAATATGTCTTAACTATATTAGTTAGTGAAGTGTAATTAGTTATTAGCTAATTATGTTGGTAGTGGAGGTTAGTTTAGACAGCTGGCACCAGCTAGCAACTTGTATGTATGTATATATATATATATATGTGTGTGTGTGTGTGTAGCTAGCTCATTTGTACCAAGGTTTTAAAAGGCGGGGGCGTGAGGCGAGCTGTTTTACCTCTGACGAGGCGAGACGTAAGCCTTGGGACATGGGGCGTAAGTCCCACAGATCTTTAAATTTTATTAATTTCAAGAATTTGAAGATAGTATTAAATAAAAAATAATTATAAAAATTATATTAAGATCATAAAATTATAAAAAATAATATTTAAAATACTTATAAATAATAATTCAACTATGAATAATACAAAAAGTATGACATATATCATAATATGAAAATTAGCTGCAACGTCGTTACAACTCAAATATTTTCTTAAGGAGTAACAAATCTTGAAAGAATTCGATATTATAATTTGATATTTTTTTAAGATACTCCTTTATTTAATATGCTTTCTACTTGAAAGTGAATTTATATAAAAATATAATTCACAATTTAAATATGATTCTCTAGCATTATTTATTTTTTAGTTTCAATAAATTAATAAAGTGACAGATAATTCACCATAAAATACCATGATAACTAATTATTTATAAATAGTTAATAGCTAATACTGAGCTATTAAATTGAATAAGTATTGTATCTCGTAAACGTGAGAAAAATAATATTTAGGAAATAATTTTATACAAAAAATTATGGACTATTATATAATAAAGACTTAACAAAAGTTAATAAATAAATACTTTTTAAATGAAAGATTTATTTAAAATTTACTATCATAGTAGTCTTAGAGGATAACGTGCAATAATTTTTATTTTAATTAGGAATAGTCAACGATTTATTAAGAAAATTAGAGGATTTACAAGGTTAGTTACACACAATTGCATAAAGTTCTATTAGGCGAGCTCAGTACGCTGAGCGTTGGGCGTGTCCAGGGCGTAAGCCCCGACGGCCGAGGCGCGCGTAAGTCTCACGGAACTAAGTCCCACACATAAGTTCAGGGGCGTTTTACGAGTGCTCCGCCCCGGGACGAGCCCCGAACAAGTCCTAATTCTGCCTTGTAAAACAGAGATTTGTACTACTGTTCTATTGATAATGAACAAAAAATATCCCCAAATTTTGCATGCGTTTTCCTTCTCTCATCTATGCTTGCTCTGCTTCAATGTCGGTCAGAATCTTAGCGAGTTTCTTCACTCTGCCGTGCCAGAAGCTACCCAATGGACAAAACGAATACTCTCTTGTATATCTGTTACTCCTATTATTCATGGACTTGAAAATTAACAACTCCTTATATTTTATAGTAGTATATTATAATATTATTATTAAAAGATTAACCGCCAACTTTTTAAAGACATTTCAATTTATTTGTGAAACTTTCGCAAATAATTGTCATAAAGGAAAAATTCAAGACATGAATGAAACTGGAAAGTAAAGAAAAGTGGAACTAGAGCTAAAAATAACGGTGAAAGTTGAAAACCATATATATTTCCATTAGCTCCTCTGTTTTCATTTACGTCTCTCTTCAGAAGAACATAATTCATAGCGTACTTTCTAAAGCAAAAATTTCAAGAATTTCACTGTCTAAGATGGAAGACAATTCAGGGCTACTGGAGAAAGACAAGAATGACAACTTTCAATACATGGCGGCGAATGAAATCTGCGATAACTTTCAAGACATTCACCTCTCTGATAAATCGAGGAGTGCTTCTCTGAAAATCAAGTATGTTACTTAATCGTTTTCAATTTTCATCAGTTTTGAATAATTCCCCTTTTCTTTAAACCAGAACCAATCTAGTACTAATAGTAGTTAATTTCGATGATTGATTCCAAGAACGAAGTAGAAAATTACAATTCTTTTACGAAATGAATAAGGTGATCAAGAAAGTGATGAAATCAAATTGTAATTAAGAGTTATTTATGTATAATTCCGGTTGATGCTTCTTCTATTAATGGCAGATGTAACCCATTTGGAACTGCGTGGGTTTATAGAGATGAAAACAGGAAACTGTTTCTTGAAAAGCAATTAAGCGAAGATGACATTACTGGTCAGTTACAGATTCCCAGGAAACTGGCGCATTATTTACAGAGTCCAGAATTACAAAGCGCTGACCTTGACGAACAAGAATGCCAAGTCGAATTAGTACGCAACATGGAGGAAGATGAATATTATATGACCGGAGAATGGGAGAACTTCGTACAGGAACATCAGTTGAAACCTAAGGATTTGGTAGTAATTGAGATTTCAGATAACCAGCGTCTTCGAGTCGATTACATTTCCGACCATAGAGCCATTGACAATCATGTATTAGTCAGGCGCTTGTCTAGAGCTGAAGTCAAAGATCTCTATCTAAGGAAGTTGAGTGAAAATTATTCCTATTGTGGTACAGGATTAATTGAGATACAACCAGTTGTTGAGATGAAATTATGTTCTGAAAATGCTGATAGTGTAAAATTAATACTGCCAAAGAAAGAAGTAGAAGAGAATCTAAATGATCTTCCTCTTCCTGCAGTAGGAGGAGAAATACCTCTAACTTTGTTTGATCCAGTGGGAAACAATATAGTGGAGATGAAATTGGTGCATGGTAGCGAGGAGGATGGATACTATATTGGAGGAGGAGAATGGAAAGAATATGCTGTTAAACATAACTTGTTAACTTCTGACACCTTATTTCTTGACAAGGTAATTGTGCACAATGATGAACATGAGCTGAATAATCACTATGAAATCACTTACCAGAGAGGAAGCAGTAAAGAGAGGGAGAAATTAGACGCTGCTGCTGCTACTACTACTGTTGTAATTGGAGATAATAAAAAAGGTGATGATCAGTCAGAGTATGAAGGTGATCTTGAATCGTTCTGGTTGTGGCTAGTATGATATCAGAATCGAGTAAGCAGATGATATTCTTGATGATGAGGACTACGTGCACAAATTTGCATTACATACTCAGTAATAATACTTTCATCAAATAGTACTATTAGAATTGAAGTAATTCTTTTTTCATTACAGTTCGTATACAGAGTGGGTAGCTTATTGTTGTAGCTGGTAACGTCAGTTCCTTAGCTTGATGTTTCAATATTGACGAAGTCAGAAATTTTCTCAAGAGTGTTCAAATTTGAAATAAGTAAAAAATAATCTCACAAAGAATGTTCAATACATGTTATGTACCTCTAAAATATAATATTTTACCTATATAAATAGTATAGTATTCCAACAAAGAGTGGTCAGTTGACCACCTTAACCCAAGTGTGCCTTCGCCCTTGATACTCACAGACACAAAGTTTTGTGATAATAGTAGTAATATGGCTTGTACATCTTGCTCAGAGTTCTTTTTTTTTGCATGTCAACTCGTGTCAATCTGCTTCATAATTGGTCAAGACCCCAATGTATTAGCCAAAATGTTGTTACAGTACAATTTTTTTATTACTATATCCTATACCTTTCTCACCCTAGAACTAGTTTTGTTGCGTTACTCCTATTATGGTAAAATAATCAGAAGGAATTGGAGGATAGAAAAGTTTTTGAGGATTTTAACTATATAGGGTAACCAAACGATCTCTTAAGAGTAAAACACCAGTGCATGGAAAATGACTTTAAATTGGTGTACAATCTCACATGGCATATGATACTTTGCTAAATTTGTTCTATCGTCCCTGACTAACAATTCCAATTTTAAATTTATTCTATCGTCCCTGACTTTAAATTAGTTTTCACAAGACACACGTAGTACACCTGTGAGCACGTGATTTTTGTCCTATATGAATTACTACCATAAATTCAAAATAAAATAACTTCTTTTCATTATTTGCAATTTTTGTGGATTTTGTGGCATTTTCTGATAATTGTTTGCATTTGTCTGTGCATATTTATTTTATTTAATTCATGAAAATACAAAAATACACTGCATTTGCATTTAAGATATAATTTTGCATTATTGAATTAATTAGTAATTTAGTGTTTTATAAAAAATGGAAAAAATAGTTTATTTTGCACTTTTTAATTTTAATTTCGAATTTTGGTGGTTTTTCTTTAATTTGGTATTTAATTAGTTGTGGTAATTATTATTTAGAGTAGTTAATTTAATTTGGTAGGATAATTTGATTAGAAATCAATTTAGGTTTATTTTAATTTTAATTTTAATTTAGAAGAAATTAGAAAAATTGAAAAAATTAAAATAAAGGAAAGGGAATTTGGGCTAAAATTAATTGATTTATCTCCAAGCCCATACCTCTACACCCCTGAAACCCGTCCAAATTGCCCCAATACCCGTCCCAAAGTCACACTAACTCGGTCCACCTCCTCCCTCAACCCAAATGACCTCGTTTAAGTTAGTTTCGATCTGGGCCGTCGAGGTTATGGGATTAGACGGCTAGGAAGTGGGGGTGGCTTGATATACAAGTGTCCAAACACAACCTCCTACCCCCTCATCGTCTCTTTCACATGGACTCCAACCCTCAAACCCTAATGACGCCGCCTCCATTTCCACCGCCCCAAGGTGGCGGTGACCATCTCCGTTCACCCCCATTTTAACACCCCAGAATTCTCTCACCTCCTCATACCAAATCCGTAACCCTTTGCCCTCGAATATGTCCAAACTTTCTCAAATCTTACATCTGAGTTCGAACCCTAAAGGTCTAAAATCATTTTCGGTCGAATCTGGTGGCACGTATCGACCTGGATTGGCTTTTCTCACATTTGGAAGGCCGACTCACTACAAGATTGATGCCATTCGTTCTTTCTTGACAGAGAAAAGCTATTGGCATTAGTTTCGCGTGAATCAAGTTATCAAGTGTCACTTCGAGTTTAGCCGGTGAGTTCTCTCTCATTTTTGGGTCCGTTTCTATTTTCGTGTTTCACTTGGTGTCCCTCTCTTCTTTCTTTCTTTCCTTATTTGAAGTTTGGTCGAAGTTTTGGC